AGTAGCAAAATTACAGTTATGAAGTAACAACGGAAATAATTTTATGGTTCCACAACATGAGAGATGGTATGAAAGGGCTGCAGCATTAGGAAGGTCGAGAACCACTCTGCCTTAGAGCTTCCAAGGACCCAACTAGAGCAGCTGCAGACTGGGAGTGTTCAGTGAGGATGTGTGTGTGCACGCGCGCAAAGCCATTTAAAACATCATATACATCTTAACCAACCACTGTAGTGTGTATCTGTAATCTCAATGACATGGGAGGCTGAGGCAGGAAGATCACTTGTGCCTAGGAGTTCCAGCCCAGCTTAGGCAACAAAGCAAGACCCTATCTCAGAAAAATGAATAATGAATGAAGAAATAAATTTGCATCTTCATGAACATCAATGGAAAGAAAGCCCTTCTATTCCCTTGAGGACCAAATTCTCTTTGTGTTCAATATTGTAAGGGATTTTCTGGCCTCATCCTTTTCCGAAACCTTTCTGAGTACAGAATACAAAAAGCTGGTAGAAGCATTGACAAGTTATTTTATAAAATGGATGAGGAGAAATCTAAAAGTAAGTGTTGTTCCCAGGAGAAGGAAAGTGACCTATAGTCTAATAGAAGGCCTTCTCCTTCACCGAGAGGGCATGCAGTGTGGGCAGGTGAGCTGCCGTGGGCTTTGGGGCCAGGGTACTGGGTTTCCATCATCCTGTTTTGTTGATTGTGGCTTTGAAAGTTGTCGGGAGCTTTTGAGTCCACTTCCTCCCTTTGCAGCAGGGATAATGACATGTAAGTCAGCGCCTCCTACTGTTCGACTTGAGATAGGACATCACATTTTTATCACACTGGGGAAAATTCAGGAAACAGAACAGTTCATCTTTGACTCCGTTAATTTAAGATCTGGCAACTTTCCAACAGTCAATTTTTGGTTGTCCCAGAGTTCCAGGTTATATTGTCTCTTCCTCTTGCTCCTCCTCCTCCTCCTCCTCCTCCTCCTCCTCCTCCCCTCTCCCCCACTCCCTTCCACTTTTAAAATAGCTTTAGGGTATTAGGAGATGTTTTAGTCGGTAAAATATTTGTCATTCAAACATGGGGACCTGAGTTCAGCTCCTCAGAAGGCACATAAAAAGGTGTGCTCAGCCGCTCACAGTTGCTGTCCCAGAGCTGAGGGTTAGAGCCAGGAGGATCCCTGCAGCCACTCCAGCAAACTGGTGACCCCCAGGTTCAGTGAGAGGACTTGTCTTTAAAAAACAATATGGTGAAGCATAAGAGGACACCCCACATCAACCTTCATGCCTATGTGCACTCTACACATTTGTACCTCCAAACAGGCACACACACCAACATGTATACACACAAAATAAACAACTGTATTGAAGTGTAACTTATACATCATGAGACGCATTTAAACCATTTAATTTAAAATTCTTTCTCTCTCTCTCTCTCTCTCTCTCTCTCTCTCTCTCTCTCTCTCTCTCTCTCTCTCTCTCTCTCTCTCTCTCTCTCTCTCTCTCTGTGTGTGTGGGGGGGTAGGGTACATGCATGCCATGGCACATGTGTGGAAGTTAGAGGACAACTTCTCTCTTTACATGGGATCCGGGGATCGAACTCAGGCTCTAGGGCTTACAAGACAAGTGTTTAACCAGATGAGCCATCTCACCAGCCCCTGATCCACACATTCCAATGACTTAATGAACTTACAAATCACTCTTCTCATCACACTCTCCTATTAGACTGTTTCTACCACTTCAAACGAGGCCTGTGTCCATTTCCAGTCTCTCTCCACTCCCGTCTCTACACACAGAAACCCACCTACTTATTAATCCTTCTAAAGTGGATATAAGCTGTCCATTTCATAAGCAATTTTAGTAGCTGGATATAGCTAACATATATTATATCACACTGAGGCAAGGACGTGGCATAATCTAACAATGCTCGGTTATAAAATGCAATGATAGCAGAATGGAGTCTTACTATTGTTGCTGGTAGGGATTCATAGTTCTTCAGTCCTAAGTATCCACTACTAATCAGTCCATTCTGTGGATCTCAGTCTCCAACTGGTACAGTCGGGGTTCCTGTGTTAAACTTTCCCACATGTAACTGATGGCTGCCATATTGTGGCAAGCAATAGGAGACACTCAAAATGTCAGTTTCCTGTCTGACATCAGACATGTGAACCTTCCACTTAGTAAAAAATTAGCATTTCCCTAGTGGTCTTTGTACTATTAGGATGGTCACAGGACTTGACCTTGAGCCTGTTTCTCTCCACTAAGCTTGTATTAATGCTACAATGTCCTTTTCCACACTGCAGAAGGAACGCTGCCTTTTCCTGATGACCTCCCTAGATTTCTCAGGATAGGTGAGTGACTGGACCACTCCAGGACAAAATGCATAAAAAGTTTCAGGTAACCTTTGTCTTTGTAGGTTGCCTCCCTCTCTTTCTTGCTGATGTTCTTTCTTCTCCTTGAGCTCCTTCCCAAATCAGGTCCATGGATCCTTGCTAGGGAACCAAGCTTGTCAGCATCCTAACTGTGCTTGAGTCCCATGCCTGGTACAGCAGGACTTTGTGGTAAGACATACACTCTCCCATCAAATCCATCTCCTCTTTGTCCCACAGCTTTAGTTAGACTGCCAAGATTTCAACCTGTGGATTTCATTAATCTCTATTTTAATGACAACTTGGCATTTTAGACATCAGCAGATGAATCTAAGATAACCATCAAAGTCCCGTGTCCTGTAACTCTACAGCAAAGCCCAGGGCCATGGGCATGCTGGGAAGGGTTCCTACTGTGACCTCCATCTCTTCCACCACCTGTTTTTCAGGCATGCTCTCAGTACTATGTTGCCCAAAGTGGCCTGGAACTCACAATTCTCCTGCCTTAGCCTCTTTCTGTGCTTAGAGGCATGTGTTATCAGACTCAGACTGTAAAATTTTTATGGGGGAGAAACAAAATCTTTCTATGTAGCCCAAGAATTTGGTATGTTGCTCAAATACTCTTCAAACTTGTAACCCCTGACCCTCTCCTGAGATTACAGTTATGTCCCACTCCAGGTGGCAGATTTTCCTTTTCATTTAAGTGATAACTTCCTTACAGTGTTCACATTAAATTCACCCTTATACATTATTCCTTATAATTATATTAAAACTATATAAAGATTTGCTATAAATACACATTCTAGAAATAAGTAAAGGACAATCTTTGTCTTCATATTCATTTGCAAACTATGAAGTAGTAAATTCTTTAATCATAGTTTCACAGGATTTATTTAAAAGGGAAAACCGATCAGTTCTAAGGTTGGTCTACCTAGTGTGGTGATCGTCATAACTGCCCTAGTTTCAGGTGATGTTTCTTTGAATTGCCAGTTTGAAGAGATCCATCAACGGAACAAACCCAAGAATCCAAACTGACTACACAGGTCCGGGGAGAGCGATGATGGGCAGGTCAGAGGGCAGGGGGATGGTGCGTTCTGCGGCCTTCTAGGCATTCTGGGAAAGGAGAAGCTGAGATGTGACCCAGCAGGTCTGCAGGTTCAACCAGGCAAGCGGGGGCTTTTACACTGGCCTTGTTACCCTGAATCCAGACGAGATTATCAAGATGAACATCTACCTACTTCAATTATGGGACTAGATGCCTACAGGTCAAAGGTCCCTCTTCAGGTGCACTGAACAAAGCTGACTCCTTCTGAAATGGCTGCCAGGGTGACTGCCAGATGACCTCTGGCTTCATTATAACTCCATCTCTGTGCTAATTCACACACCCTCCAGCTCTATGACAGCCGACAGTTGTCATGGAAGCCATTTGAAAGAACCACAAAGAGAAGGGAAATGCACAGAACCTAACCCCCCACCAACCACCTATTCCCTTAAGTGACATGAATAAACACACACACACACACACACACACACACACACACACACACACACACACGTTAGCCCATCTTTCCCCTTCTGTGTTAGAGACTTTTCCCACGACTGTGACAAAAGAGCCTAACAGAAGTAATTTAAAGATAGAGAGGTTTATTACAGTTGGTAGTTTGAGCATGCCGTCCATCGGGGGTGGGGTGGAGAAGGCACAGAGGCAGGAGCGTGCGGCAGCTGCTCGCATACATTACGAAGCGCAGAGAGGTGACTCCTGCAACTCGGGCCAATGTCTCCTTTTTATTTAGTAGGGGACCACAGCTGGGACCACAACCATGAATGGTACCACACACAATTAAAGGTGGGTCTTCCAACCTCCCTTAACACAATCCACAAACTTCCTCAGACAAGCCACAGGTTTGTTGCCATGGTGATTCTGAACCCTGTCAAATTGACAACAAACTGTTCACACCCTCATTTCCTTTCATCTCTTTCCATAATTTTGTGATCCACAGGGGTTGAAAAGTTGATTTGAGGAGATTATTTCACATTTCTATTCTCGGCCAAGAATCAATGTCTCTTTTACAACTCAATTGGCTTCCTCTTGTTATTGGTTCCACAACTCAAAGAGGGGGAAATAACACCATTTGAGGGCAAAACTGGTAACAGACTGAACCAACAACATAAAAATTGGAGAAACAAGCTGGGCGGTGGTGGCGCAAACCTTTAATCCCAGCACTCAGGAGGCAGAGCCAGGCGGATCTCTGTGAGTTCGAGGCCAGCCTGCTCTACAGAGCGAGATCCAGGACAGGCACCAAAACTACACAGAGAAACTCCCCACCCCCCAAAAATTGGGGAAACAACAAAAAACCAGAAGTTGCTGTACATAGACAAATATGGCTTTGATATTCGTTCGTGTGTGTGTGTGTGTGTGTGTGTGTGTGTGTGTGTGTGTGTGTGTGTTGCTCAATCAAACAGTAGAAGTAAAGAAAAAACCTTCTGTGGAACTGAAGAGAAACTAAAGTTCAAAGGCTCTGTGAATTCAGCAAAGACTTTCTCACTGCAGGAGTGATGAGAAGCAGGAGCGAGGCTGGGCTGGGGAAGGGAAGAGGGCTGCTGGAAAAAGTATCACATCACCATGCTAACTATTCACTCCGCAGCCACACCCTGAGCAGCTCGGTCAACTCTCTGACAGCTTGTGACAGTGCACGGGACACAGGTGAGCATCTGGGTTGCGCAATTGGCTGAGCCCAGCGCTGGCTCCCAGAGGCATTAGCTTCAGCACGAGGTGACCACTCAAGGGTGGCATCTCAGGCTGCACTAACGGAGTTCCAGCAGAGCCGTCAACGAGGAAATCCTGCCCGCTGCCTCTGCAAGGCATGCTGCCCGCAGCTCAGGCATCTGTTGATTCTTACAGATACGGACTTCTCTGGTCTTCTGGAAAGTGGGTGACCCCTTTCCACATTTCCCCCAGAGTGGTTTACAGAATGACCCACCAAACCTCCTTTACACTAGGGTCTAGTTCCTTGACAGTCTGACTATGGACATAGTAACAACATGTATACTTCACCTTAGGGCAGATTAATGGTCCCTTCAAAGAGAAAGAATCTTCCTCTGTCAGATAAAGCAAGAAACAGCACACCCTGCTTTAAGAGAGAAGAAGGGGGAGAAGGGACTTGATCCACACTCATGCCATTTCTGTAGTCTTAGGAACTGATCAGTGAAAACTCATCCTTAGACAATGACCTGAGATGGCTTTTTCATCAATGTTTCTAGTGAGAAAATGTGCACGTAGAGCCAGCAGAACCTGGGTATTTCATGAAGGATAGAAGTGCAGGGGCCCAGGACATGTAGCTCAGTGGATAGTGTGTGGTTGGCATTCACAAGGCTCTGGATTTTATCTCTAGTGCCTCCTCCTGCTTCCAAAATCAGCCCTGAGGTGGCTGAAGGTAAATGGAAACAGACTCAAGCCTCATCTCAGGCTGGGGTGCTGTCGTGGGTTTAATGGTCTTCAGGGTTCCCAGCCCAAAGCTGCTCCTTGCTGTGGGGTGGTCTCTTTGTATGCTGTGAACATGTGTTGCTACCATTGGTTAATAAAGAAGCTGCTTTGGCCTATGGAAGGACAGGTTATAGCCAGGTGGGAAATCCAAGCAAAGACAAAGGGAGAAGAAGGTGAAGTCAGAGAGACACCAGCCCACCGCCCAAGGAGCAACATGTTAGCAGATCAGCAATACCACGGCCATGTGATAAAACATAGATTAATAGAAATGGGTTGAATTAAGTTGGGAGAGCTAGCTAACAAGAAGCTGGAGCCATAGACCAAACAGTTTGTAATTAATATAAAGCCTCTGAGTGATCATTTTATAAGCTGCTGTGGGCCAGGCGGGACACAGGAGAAGTTTCCAGTTCCATCCCATCACCGTAGAACTCCTAGCATGAAAGAAGGAAGTGACTTCAAGGGAGGGAGAGAACTTTCATGGAGGACCAATACTGTCCAGCCTCCACCCCAGCGGGGAGAGGGGTCTATATCCAACCTCCTCATACTGCTAGAAATGGTGTGGAAAAGACCGATGAAAAACTCATGTTTAACAGATAATATGAAAGTTAACTGGAATAACAAACATTCAGAAGTTGCTCAGAAAAATAAGTATTAAAAGAATAAAGAATGAGAAAATTCTTATTAAACCATATGCTGAACTTACTGAAATAAAATGGATTGGCTCTGGCAGGGGGTGAGAGAACAGCTCAGAACCCACAAGTCAGTCCCTGTCTGAGAGAGTGTAACTGTGCAGTTACAGTGTTGGGAAAATTCCCCCGACAGCAGCAAAGGAATTCTAAGAGAGTCCAGCTTCCCCTTTCAGAGCACACCAAGTTTCAGGCGTGCATGGTATCACATACCTGCAATCCCAGAATGCATGGCATGGGGGCAGGAGGATGCCAAGTCGGAGGCTAGCCTGGAGCATACAGGATCTCAGAAGAGATT